CTTTATCATTCTCATTTGTTTTAATATATAACTTCCATGTGGTTTTGGTGATGAAGGATTTGAAGCTGCTTCATGGCTGACTCATATTTAGAGAGTAGCACCCATCAAAGGGACACAGCAAGCAGAATTAGAACTAGACAAAGATACCAAGCCGATAAACGTCCCACAGGATTTTAAATAAGGAACTTGGCACAACTGGAAATCAGAAGTGAAGTAGAAAGATAATGACTGTGAAATTATACTAAGGTGCAAGGTATAGAGCATGCTATGCTGTTGGAAGAACAATGCTTTATGTTTAAAAGCTCAGAATAAAATAAATCAGCTGTTTTAATGGGAAACAGAATACCCATATGGGTTCATCAGGAATCGTAGAGTATAAGAACCATACATCCAGACCAGGATAACATTGACTGTAACATATTCCTAGTATTAAAATATTAAGTAGTTTTGTTTCTTTCAGTAGTACGGTGTGATAGTTATCAATGGCCTTACTTGTATGTCAACATCAGACTACTAGAACTAGAGAGTACTGGATGTTAAGTAGATGGCAAATTCTCTGTCTAGTGTTGATCCAAAGACCTCCATGTGGTTTAACCACCGATTTTTCAAGAACTAAAGCCTAGAGGTTTACCTCCTTAGGAACACAACATGTTGAAGAGACCTTCTCTGCAGACCCTTCTAAGCACAATTTCTTGTAATACTTGTTTCTAGGTGAAAGTGGGCAGTAAGTTGTATGCCTGTCTTGCTCTACATTTGTGAGTGCTTGTGATAGTTTTTTGATGCATGTTCAGAATTAACTGCATGGAAGTCTTTGGAGATCCAGGACTCTGTATTGTTTCTGAACTGGGGTGGATTTGGCAAAGCTCTGGCAGAAAGTGTTAAGTGTACTTAGCATGTTATAAACCATTCATGATACAGGATTTGTTAATAGCCAGAGCTTAAATTGCCTGTAGTGTGATTCTTCAGATAATCACAGTTTTAGTGTACTTCACCACAAAATTATTAGCTCACATAATGAGGATTGTCTCTCCAGTTATCCATCTCACCATACTTCAGTTTCTCTTACAGTCGATTTAAAGTCCCTTCTTGCTTGACTCCAGGTCAGGTAGATGGTTTTGCTGCCTTGGTGCAATGCCAGGAAAGCCATCTTGTTGGAGCCGTATACAACGGGGTTTTCAGCTCTCCTGGCATACAGTCCTTTGAAGCAGTGTAGCGCTCAGCGTCAAGTAGCACAAATAAAGGCTTTGAGCAGTGTGCCACTGAATGGAAACACTGAAAGATCTTGGAGTTAAATGGCAGGCAAGGAACGCGTAATGCGCAGCAGAGGCAGTAACTGCTTGCTGTGGAGCATGGAGCTAATGCCACTGTCAATTTCATCCTCTGCTTGCATAGGGAAAGGCTTATAAAAAGTCAGTGGGACTCTTTGGGTATAGCAACACATGTGCTTATTTGGAAAGCAATGCCAATTTGAGCAGCTCCTGCTCTGCTCCATCCTTGTTGGCTATGTCATGAATTGAAGCAGGGAACTGATTTGTTGGAAAAATAATTTGGCAGACAGGTTTATTTTAAACTGGGGTCAGTTACGGTTGTTCAGTGGAAGGGCTGACACACAGTGGGAATTACTGCTGTAGGTTGCAGTGGAAGGAGGGACTGGAGCTTGGCACTGCTGTTTAAATAAATGTATGTGTAACCGTGCCCTTGGGCTCTGTGCCCAGGTTTTATAAGACTGGATAGAAGCTGAAATAGGGAAATGGTTCGGTTATTTGAATAGTTAAAACTTGTTATGAATAACTCAAGTGCAGATAATCTTGCTGACTAATCATTTTTTCCTTTCTGTTGAGTCATTCTGTTGGCTTAGAGTGATTGAGTGGGTTTTTTGTTTCTTGTGGGCTCTTGGTCATGGTTTTTTTTGGAGGGAAGTACAGATGCATACCGACACTTTCAAAACTGAAACTGGAAGGATTTGCTATGGCTTAATTTAATTTCTGTGTAGGACTGGAAAAGTAGAGAAAGAGGAAAAAAATGCAACCCAGTGTTGCAGCCAAATTAGACTATTTATCATCAGTTCTGCAGTTTCTTGCATTTCTAAGAATGTGCCAAGTTCATTTGCTTAGTTCTTATGTTAAAGCATTGCTGTACTGTAATTGAACATCTCAGTTGCTTGGATACTTTCTTTGTATTGCCTTGAGAAATTTCATCACATGGAATGAATTGTGTGTGTGTGTGTGTGTGTTTTGCTTTTATTCTAAAACAAATGTTGGTGAAAATTTAAGTGTTCTCAGGGGTCAGATACCTGCAAAAGATTTGCTTTTACTGTTTCTCTGATAACACTTGTTCAGGAACTTGTGTTCCTATTATGTTGGTCTAAAGCAATGAAGGTAAGCAACTGTACTAACTGATGACTTACTCAATAGCCCATGTAGCTTAGGAAGCAGACAAATGAAAATACAGGGGGTTTTTTATTTTTTATTTTTTTTAACTGTATTGTATTTTCTTTCATAATGAAATGTCTGTCAGCTTGTTGCCAGTTGATTACTTGCAGCTTACTGTATTATTTGGGATAGTAATGAATTCTGCAACATATGAAAGTAGTAAATAAGAGAAGCATTTTGGACTGCCTAGTCTACACCATTTATTTATAGTAGGTATTTAATAATTGATTTTTAAATTTTTTTTTTAAGCTTTAAAACTGAAGTTAGTCTGATCTGCTTAAAAAAAAAAAAATCAAGCAAAAGATTTCTTAGTGTTTCCTCTGCAATGCTCTTACAGATTCAATACATATCCCTGTTGCATTGTTTTTTGGTTTTTTTGTTTCCCCCCCCCCCCTTCTTACTCTTCAAATTTTCAGTTTTGTTTCTCAGTTTGTATTCAGTTAATTGACTGATTTGAGACTACCTTTCAGTTCTTCCTGACTGGAAAATAAACAGCAAACATAATATGGGAGAGCTGGATATATTTGTGCAAAATGTATTGTTTACTTCAGGAATTTTACGGTTCTAAAGAGCCTCAACTCTTCTACCTTAATTCTCCGAAGTAACTAAAGGCCATGCTGTTACTAAAGAACAGAAACCTGTTAAAAACTGAGCATGGCTGTAGAAGATAGTATTGTGCACCGCTAAATGTTATGTAAAGGAATATGTTTTTTAGAGACCAGAAGACATTAACAGGCTGCAACTACTTTGAAAGTTGCAGGCTGACATGTTGCATTGTCTTCACACAGTTGTAGTTGTGCTTACTAAAATGTGGCTTGTCTTATAAAATATATTCAGAGCCAGCTATGTCAAGATTTCTGTTAGTTCAGTTGTACAATTTCTAGTGCAATAGTAACATGATACATTATAGCATAGCTCATGTGGATTATCTACACTTAATAGTAAGAACTAACAGGAAACCTTTATGTAGACAACAAACTAATTAACATTGTTGGTAGATATTTTTTAAAAATACAGTATTTGTAGCAGAAATTGAAAAGCCATATATTCATCTGATTGTATTTTCCTGTGAGAATATTATCTAGCAGTTGTCGAGTGAATTTTAAAAGAACCCAAAAGTTCAGTGAGCATTTATTCTCTACATCAGTTGGAAACAAGAGAAGAACAGTGGTGTAAGAAAAAGCCTGTAGCATCTGTTTGGCATTCATTCTCAATCATTTCTGTAATTGTTTACAATTAAAGGAACAAGTGGTAATAGTTATTGTCACCTTCCAGCATAAGAGTACCCTGACATCTTAGTTGTCCTTTTTCAGGGCTGAATAGGGTTTTGGGAATGTCACTGGGGCACATCTGTATGGGTGTAGTTCCACAGCTTTGTGTCAGTCTGGAGTACAGGCAGAGTGGGAAATATTTACTTTCAAAAATTAGCATTTACTTACATTCCATATAAAATGAAGATACTAGCCTTAAAAGGAATGGCTTAATTTTACTGAAGTCTGTCAAGTATGTAAACTAGTTGGGAACTGTTTAAACATTTTTATTTCTGCATGCTATATTATCCTCCTGCAGATAATAAGTAGCAAGCTATCCCTGCCAATTTTATTTTTCACAAGCTTTGTGATAATGATTTGGCTATTTTGTATACACCTTTATTAATTGCTTTTTGGTTTGTTTTTTTTTGGGGTTTTTTTTTGTTTTTGTTTTTTTTGTCCTTGCAAAGAAGCTCTTAATTCATCCTCTTTAATTTGTATATTGCCAGCAATGAGAAACTAATAGTGGTGCAATTAGGAATAACTGGTGGACAAAAACTTGATACTACTAATCCTAGACTTAGCAGGGATTTTGTATGTAGGAATTTGAGAAATAAAGAAAGCATGGCATTCTTTTAATCCCTTTCTAAATGTAGGACTGAGCTAGTTTGTTGGGAAAACTGTAAAGAACTTCAGGGCATGAATGTTTGAGGAGTTACTCTAGCCTTCCACAGCAGAGAAAGGACTAACTCTTCTTCCAGGGAATTATTCTGGTATGTACCATGTAGTCCAGTGTGACCACCGTTACCTTTGTTTTGACAAAGGTAATGCATAGTGTGACAATTAATATGTATGATCGTGGTGATAAATGTATTAGTTGTATATTGTAGAAACTGTGCAGCAGTCTTTATGAAGGATGTCAATATCTAAGTAGTAACTTTTGACTGACAAACAAGGGAATATTGCATGTTCTGCTATCTGATCTGCGTCAGTCAGCCCCTTCTCTGGTTTTGTAGCTCGCTTGCTATAACTGGACTCGAGATGTGTAAGAATATGGGTCAAGCTAGTAGATGAGAGTTCTGAATTGTATAGGCTACTGGGCCCCCTCCTGGGTTAAAATAACTAAGGTACATTGTCTGTGTTTATAGTAAACCTTATGAAATGACCATGTTTTAAATAGTTCAAATATACAGACTCGTAACTAAGGTACATTGTCTGTGTTATTTATAGTAATCCTTATGAAATGGCCATGTTTTAAATAGTTCAAATATACAGACTCTATGTGTATACTTGAAAATGGTTTTATGTTTTCTTGCAGCTAACAGAAGATGAAATTGCAACTATTCTGAAATCTACTCTTAAAGGACTTGAATACCTGCACTTCATGAGAAAAATACATAGAGATATAAAGGCTGGAAACATCCTTCTTAACACTGAGGGACATGCAAAATTAGCTGATTTTGGTGTGGCTGGCCAGTTAACAGTAAGTACCCGTGGAAAGATAATTTAAAAATACTTTAGTGCTCCTAACCATGTTCTTTTATTTTGGCTTTTTCTTCTGCTGTGAATGTTGTGTCTGAGGAGTGACTAGTGGCAGTGGTAGAGCTAACACTTTTTATCATGATGAATATTTAATGTATTGCAAAGCTGTTCAGTTTAGTTGTTTATTTTTATAACCCAGTGTACTTCAAGTGCCTGATGTTCATAAACCACAATCAAAAGTTTAAAGTGAGATCTTTATCACCTGTTTGGCCTCTGTAGGCTGATCGACTGAATCTGTTTGGTCTGAATTGGAAGTCACTACCATTTGACCTTTAGGTGGCTAATTTAACTTTTAAATATAGAATTAATAGTAAAATAACTTGAAAATAAGCATCTCTGTTTCAATTGCACAAATAATATAATTACAGGATACAATGGCAAAACGTAATACTGTTATAGGAACTCCGTTCTGGATGGCTCCTGAAGTAATCCAAGAGATTGGCTATAACTGCGTGGCAGACATCTGGTCCCTTGGAATCACTTCGATAGAAATGGCTGAAGGAAAGCCTCCGTATGCTGATATTCATCCAATGAGGGTAAGCGTGTGTGGTGGTGGTTTCTTGTTTGTTGTATTAAAAAGCAAAAAAAAACCCCTTCCAAGTTTTTTTTTTTTTTTAAAGAACAAAACCCTGATATTGGAATCATAAAACTCTATGTTTATAGACAAAGATTTTAAGACTTAAGGATTTTTACTTGCTGTTTTGCTTCCTGTTTACTGCTCTTTGCCTGTGTTTTAACATCTCACTGTATCTCTACTTGAGAGAGAACTAGAGCACTAAGTGCTTACTTGAAGGCAACATATAGACCCTATTCTGTAGTGTACCTGCACTTGGAGAGTTCCTTAACCAAGATGCTGCCCTCTTTTGAAAGGGAGTTTTAAAGTAAGGATGACCTAAAGAAGGATTCTGAATTGTCCTATGTGAGCGCTGCTAATATCAGTAACCCCTGATAGTTTTTATTTATTACTGACTCTTAAAGTCTGTTACTGAATTAGTTTACTTTTTGCAAAATAAATCTGAAATAGCATTAGTCACTTTATGAGAAGTAGCAGTTATAAAGGAATTACTTGGAGAAGTTCATGGGGAACATTGTTTATCTAGGAGTGACTGTTGCCACTGTTAGTCATGCTTTTATTTTTTGAAATGAGCTATGGAAGTGCTATACTGATTGCACTGAGTGTCAATAAATACTCCATTCTTGTCTTGTTTATATTTAAAGCCCATTTGGTATTAGTAAGGCACTTTATATTGCTAAACGCAGATTTTTTTTTCATCTTTGTGATTTGCTGCAAAAATGGTGTGATACTAGATTATTTTATTCAGTTTTCTTTTGCTGATGCCTCATATATGAGGATCTTAAAATAAGAAGCTGCTACTGTTGAAAGAGAAGGTACTGTTCATATATGATTAATCTATGTAAGGTGATGCATATATGAGTTCAAGTGTATTTGCTCCTGTTGGGTTCTTGAATTTTGTTTGTGGGGTCCTTGAATTTTGTTTGCGTGTGCTTTCTGAGTGTTTTGCACTTAGAAACACTACATAATTTTGGAAGCAAAGCTTAGTAATTTTCCTGCACTAAATATTTTTTGAGTGTAATTAAAGATTTTAAAATTTCTGTTCAAACTGAAAATACTAAGACGAAAACTGAGAACAAAATAAGTATCTCTGAAGCTTAAGCTGTCCATTTGTAAATTTAATTTAAGATGAAATAACATTTTAAAAATATTTTTAAGAACTATTGATCACAAATTAAATACACTTGATTATGCTCAGTTTTTTGGTTGTACTTTTAATGTAAATGTCTTAATTACATATGAATTCATTTTAACATCATTATGTGTAGTTGCAATAGCTGTTGGAAGGTGAGGACTACATTATCAAAGAGGATTTTTATACACATGACAATAGCTGCTTATAAATCAAAGGTCACCAAGTTTGAAAGCTTGTGAATCTATTTGGTTCTTGTAATCAAATGAATGCTATCAAAGGCCAAAGTAATTTAACAGAACAATTCTGGATTACATAGAACTTGTTCTTGTTAATAAATTACGTTATGGTTTTTAAGGGCTTGCATGCAGTTAGTACTCTTTTGTATATTTGATACCTACAGTTTTTCTTAATTTTTATTAGTCAGTTGTTACAGTGGTTAACAAGAAATACACATATTTAAGTTGCAATAGTTTTCCCAGTGTCATATGATATAGCTTCACAGAACTTTTGGACATATGTAGATGCTTTCCTACTTTGTTTTAGTTATGAAACAGAATTGATACAGGCAAGCATGAAAGCTTGGGCAAATTTTCATTGCTTTTTCTAGATGTTGCTGGAGTTCTGTGGTATTTATGTAAGGCACAGTTTTGTTACTTGGGAATGCATGTTGAAATTACCATGTGCACTGTTTTGCTGTAGGCTGGTTGGCACTGCCACAAAGGTAATGCACTGCCAGTAGGCCATTTCCTTGTCAACTGCATTTACAGCTTAATAGAAATATTACATGACTTCTTTAAACAAGTGTTTTGGCAGAGAGGAAATAGCAGGTTCCATGCAAACAAGCGTAGCTTCCTCTGCTTAACCACACTGTAGCTACGCCAAAGAATTGTACTAGTTTTAGCTGGGAAAGAATGAGAGCTGTGGGGGTGCAAAATGTAATTTAATGTGCAGGCAAAAACCATCAGGATTTTTCTGTTTAAGTATTCCTATTTTAGTATATTTGACTGCTTAAGTGTCATCAGTGCTATTTCACTTGTTTCTGCTGCAAACCTGAGTTCAGCAGAACCTGCAGTTATCATACTTGGCTTGAAGCTCAAAGGTCAAGACCATTTGCCAGCCCAGTAAGTCTAATGCTTTATTCACTTAAGAATTATGGAATGCCTCACATACTCGTTGGAGTCCTTTTGTGCTTTTGCTAATATTGAAAAGTGAAACTTTTGTATTTTCTCTGAGGTTTTGTCAAAGAGTGTTTCTAAGTAGTTTTAAAGGAGGAAAAAGTACAGACATCCTCAAGGTTACCCTAAAATGTGGTGATACAGCCATTAGAAATAGTAAGGAATTTGCTGATAAGTCAAAAATCACTCAAACCTGGCTAGCTTAACCCATCCAGCAAGGCTAAAAGCATGTTGATTGCAAAATTTTCCTTGTACTCACACAATGACATGTTCACTTGTTGCTGTGAGGTTGTATTTTTATGATCAATTTAAGACAATTTCAGTGTGGGCTGCTGGTTATAGAGACAGCCTATCCTTAGCCAGGAGTACCTGACCTTTCTGTTGAGCAAACACTAGCATTTTTGTGGCCTCACATGGGGATGGCTAGAGGAACTGATGTTCTGAAAGGTTAACCTGAGAGAAACCTGCTGGAACTGAGCTCGGGAAGTAGTAGGAGCACGTAGATGGACAGGGAAAGTGGGTTGAGTGGAGTTACTGCCTTTGGCCGCAACCGTGCACCGAGCCTTGTAGACCAACTGTAAAACCACAACCTGTGTTTTATATAATTTCCTCTTCTTTGCAAGGTCAACACTTAGTTGTGCTTCAGATAAATGCTGGTAGATCTCTTAAAAAAAAAAAAAAAAAAAAAAA